TTCGACACGCCCCCTACACACACACACACACCCACACAGATGTGTGAAAATAATTTTTCGTTTATTATCAAGTTTTTGGTTGATTTTTCTGTGTGGTTTTTCCTTCTTCTTCCACGCTGTTTACCTCAGCCAGCGGCCAAAATGCAATTTAAGAGGAGTATGTGTTTCCCTCGATTTTTCCTACGTTTCATTTTCTCTTTCTCTATTTTTTTTTTTTTGGTTTGTTTGTGTAAGGTTATTGGCTGTTGTCATTTGTGGTGTGTGATTTACGTTTATCGTTTCGATTCAAGCGTGTAATTTTCTTATTGGTTGGCCAGAAAAAAAGTTTAAAGGGGGGAAAATTCTGGCATTGCTGCTGGATTTTCTATTTTTCTTGATGGAAAAACCCCAACCCAAATCCAGCAACATTTTAGGCATTTTCTGTAGCAATTTCCATTACCATTTTGTCCATCAATGGAAAATGATGTGATGTCTACGCATTGACAAAACATTTCGAGACCCTCACAAAAAGCAATTAAAATTTTAATAAAATAAACTAAGAAACGGAAAAGCTGTGAGAACAGGGCCTGCCAGGGTACACAATAGATGACATTAAAAATCCATACAAAAGATAAACACACATTTTTCTGCTCGCTAAGGGCTACACACAGACGCACACAGACAGGAGGAAAAGCCTGACAAATATCGAAGAGAGAAGCGAGAAGAGCATGGAGAAAAGATTAAATTCACTTAAGTGCAAAGTATGCAAATGACAAACTGTGGAGTGGCGAGGAGTGGAGAGGAGATGGGACCCGAAAGACATATATGAAGTGCCTGGGACTCCAGTCCTCAGTCCTTCTCTGAAGCCATAGAAATATTGTAAATTCAAATTGAAATGCATGTGTGACACATGGGGAGAGAGAGAAGGGGGGGGGCAGAGCAGAGCAGATACAGATACAGATACAAATGCTTGTGGTACAGAGATACAAAGGAGGGACTCTCTGGTCCCTGACAAAATTGAATGCAATTTGACAAAAATCATAGTCTATAATTTCCAACAACGAAAGCTTAGCCTGACTTCTGGACCTACAATGGCTTCCGAGCCCCTGCCCAGCCAACCCTCCCCCCTTGTGCCCCACTCTCTATGTGGCACACAGACGACCTACAGGCAACATCCTACCATTACGAGTTAATAATTGAACATTTTCTGTTTTAGGCAGAACAAAATTGCTATAATTTTTTTTGTGCTATGCCGCTTTTGATTGGGGCTGTGGCTAGCTGTGGGGACAGTGCGGTTCATGGCAGTAAAAAGAGTGCTAAGATTTAGTAGGATTTACTAGAACACCAAATGGCATTAAGATAAAGCTTCTTAGGAGCTTATTTCTGGCAGAAAAGGAGTAACGACCGAGGGACGCTTCTGTATGACGCTGTAGCTTGTACAGATTTCCAGTTAAAGAGTTATTACATGCTAGATCTGTTCATACAGCTGTTATCTACCTCCTCATCGAATATAAGACTAATCCAATACCCATTAAAGGCCAGAACAGAGCTATAATTAATGGTGATTCATGACAGAACGTCTTATAGGCACTAAAGTATCTTTTCCTCTATTCCTCTCATTGTAATAGCATTCTTTCCTTAATTTACACTGTCTAAACTTCTCAAAGTTCAGGTAAAAGGGTATCCCTTGGTCTAAATATTAGCACCATTTGGTTTTCCCCACATTCTTTACACAAATTTCTTATATGATTTAAATAATCTTAGCTCCTTGTTGATTATGGTGCTGAAACGCACTGTAGTTGCTGTTCGGTTCAGAGGCCTGTGCAAATATGGCCACAAAAAGCAGTGGCACAAGCCGAAAGAGAGAGATACATATATAGAGAGAGAGGGAGAGAGAGACATATGGACACATTTTTGTATTTGCTCGTTGAACTTGTGGCACTGGTGGCTCCACCTCTTCCTCTTTCTCCCCTGCCCTCACCGAATCTCTCTCTTTCGCACTCTGGATTTTGTGAATGACTTTTTGGCACTAATTAAAAGTAGCAAATAATTTTCTATGCCAACTCACATACGCCCACATATGCAGAAGAAGAGAGCGAGCAAAGGGAAAGAGCAAGAGAGAGGGGCAGAGAGAGATGCAAATATGGCACAAGCCTCTGCCTCTGGTGTCCCTCTTCAGAAATCCCCCTTCCTGCTCTCCGCTCCCTCTGCTCCCTGCTCCTGTGACAATGACAATGCATGTGACAGTTTTCGGTTGGCACCGTTGATAAGCGTCGCTTATTGTCTCTCTCTCTCTCTCACCCTCTATCTCTCTCTGGTCCCCTCTGCCATTTGCCAGGAAAAAGTTGGCTTAAGTCGGAAAATTTATTATTATTTTTCTGCATTGCAGGCTGTGTGTGCAATTTTAAATGGATTTTAATTAGTTTTGAATTATTTCGGTTTTAGTTTTTCGGCATTTTCGTTCTGTCCCATTTTTGGCATTAAAGTTTTTCCCCCATTAAATGTATTTGGTTTATACACGTATAGTATTTCTGTAGTTTTGGCTTCTATGCGGGCAAAGCCATGATATATTTGAGGGATAATTGGTTTAACTTTCACATATATCAAAATGACTTAAATTTGAGTTCGCTGGAGGTCACCAAAGGCAAGTAATTTATCATATTGGATTGGGGAAGCCTTCAAAAGATGATAAAGGAAGAAAACAACATGAATTTACATTTTTGGTGAATGTGCGGTTTGGTTTTGCCATTTTTCAATTAATTTCCATTCTCAGTTAGATTCTATATTTCATTCTGCAGCCACACTGCAGTTTAACACTCTCCGTCTCGCTCCCACCAACAGCCACACACTTTCGGTTTCATTTTATGTGAGAGAAGCAGAAAGATTAGATCACCTCATTTGCAGTAGAAAAGGGAGAACGAAACTGTCGCTTTCATTTCGCAGCAGCAGCGCAATAGCAGCACGAGAGCAGAATCGAATGTCAAATATGAGAGCAATTTGCAGAGAGAAGCAGCAAGAGAACATGGAATGAGCGGGTCACTAGGCCTCTGTAACTCACTCCCTCCCCCTCAATAGAACACTCGCACAGCCACACACACTTTCGATTTCATTTTAAGCAAGAGATGAAGAAGAAGATTCGATCTCGTCTCGTGCAGTATGAACGGGAGAGGGAGACGAGGAACCGAAACTGTCGCTTTCATTTCGCAGTAGCAGAGCCATAAGAACACGAGAGCAGCGAGCAGCAGCAAGAGAGCATTTAATAAGCGACACACTCAGTCACCCATTAACTCCCCCTCACTCTCTCACATGAAGAGGTGACCACAGCCACACAAACTTTCGATCTGCCTTTGCATTAGTAGAGGTAGAGAGGAAGAGCAGAGCGAGCAATTCCAATAAGAGAAAAATTAGGAACAGATGCAGGTGAGAGAGCGTGGGAATGAGAAACGAAACCATGGAACGAACGTCTGCTAAGCCGGCCACGCATCTGCATCGCCGTCGTAGTTTTTTCCCCGCCCCCGACCACTTCAGAGGTCAGCTCCGCGTTTCGGTCCGTGAAAAACGGGTTAATTCGGTAAATCAAATGGAAAGAAGTGTCGCGTCTTTGTGCAGTGAAGTGTAGGGTTGAGGTGCAGTGTTTAAACATTGAAAATGGCCAAAATTAGTGTTTCAGTGTAAGAAAATCAGCATGGCGAAAGGCAAAAGGCGAGGCGATCGGCGTGGGAAAAGGGCGGCAATATATGCAAGAGATGTGCAAAAACTGATTAAACATTGAAAATTACAAGAAAAGTGTTTTATTGTAAGAAAAAGTGCGAGGCGATCCACCAGGCAAAATGGCATACAAAAGGCGAGGCGAAAAATTCGGCAAAAGGCGAGCGAAAAAGGCGCAAAAGGCCTGGCGGGGCGAGGCGATGGAAAGAGGCGGCAATATGTGCAAAAAGTGAAGTGAAGTGAAGTGTTGTGGTGAACTGATTAAACATTGAAAATGGCTAAAAAAATGTGCGAAGGCGGTCCACAAACAAAAATGGCATACAAAAGGCAAGGGCAAAAAGGCGGCAAAGGGCAAGGCGTGGCGAGGCGATCGGCGATCAAAAAGGCGGCAAATGGCGTGGCGAGGCGATATAAGCAGAGAAGTGCAAAAAGTGAAGTGATACATAAAAAACATATTATTTGATGCAGTAATTATTTTTTTTCATGTTTTAAAATCAAAAAAATCACCGCTCAGTTCCAGCAAACCCTGAGGTGTCTAATTTTTTTTCTTTGTTTTCGTTTGGTCACGTGATGCTCTGCAATGTGTGTTCCGACTTCAGCAGCGAAAAAGAAGCATAAAAGAAAGAGCGAGCGCAAATCGTCAGCTCTCTAGCTCAAACTGTCGAAGCAGGAGAGGTGGCGCTTTGCAAATCTTGGCGAGGTTGCGCTCTCTCTCTCTATCTTGAAGTGTGCCCTGCATTTGAGCAAATTATGCAAGCAGCGTGAGAGTGATGCTTCTATTGCCTAACCTTTAATTAATGTGGTTTTATTTGCTTGTTAAAGAGTGTGGCAGCGATGCGCAGAAAAGGAGCAGATCGGAGTAAAAAAAGGAAAAAATGGAGTATAAATATGAAAATTGTGTGAAAGCAGTGGAATATTTTTTGTTTTGCGTGTGCTAGAGAAATCTTTCCATTTGTCGGGTATTTCTTTCGTCGTTATTCCGGAAACGTCGTGGGTAAACGGAGCAAATGCCGAGAAAGAAAAGCGTTAAACGACTGCAAGAAATTGAAGAGGAATAATTGCAGAGAGATAGAAAAGATCAATAATCTTTGGGGAAATATTAATGAAAAGGTGAGTTAAATTAATTGTTTGGCTTTTCTTAAGATTTTAAACATGCTTTTATATTTTCGTCTCTCTCTCTCTCTCTTATATGCAAAATTTTCTTATTTTATTTTTGTTGCTTTTTATCGAGGTAATCCCTTCTGCAATAATAAATTCATCGATGTTTTTTTGTTAATATATTGTATATATTTTTTAATTTCTCAAATATAATTTTGTATTATCATATTTAAAACGGGGTTCCATAAAAGAGAAACCAATCAGGCCTAATGCCATATGTGTATACGTAAAAATTGAATGGGAAAAACGATAAATTAAAAGCTTGAAGCCATGGCCCATAGAAGTCGGTGTTGGGTTTCTACTTGGGCTTTTCTTCACCCTTGCCCTTGCCGTCACCCTTGCCCCCACCGGAGGCCAGTTCCTTCATCAGATTCAAGGCACTGCCAGCTTGGAACCACTTGATCTGGAGATCGTTAAACGAATGATTCAACTGTATCTTGTCGGAGCTGCCGCCGTTCTTGATCTCACAGTCGACGGGCTTGCCGGCGGCCAGATCCTTGAGATTCAGCAGCGAGATCTTGCTGTCGGGCTTCACCTTGTCGTAGTCGCCGGCATTGGCAAAGGTCAGGGCCAGCATGCCCTGCTTCTTAAGATTCGTCTCGTGGATGCGGGCAAACGACTTGACAATGATGGCCACACCGCCCAAGTGGCGCGGCTCCAGGGCGGCATGCTCCCGCGACGAGCCCTCGCCGTAGTTCTCCTCGCCCACGGCCACCCACTTGATCTTGTTGGCCTTGTAGTCGCGTGCCACCGCCGGAACGGCGGCATACTCGCCCGACTTCTGATTCTTCAGTTTGTTCATCTCGTTGTTCTCCGCGTTGGTGGCGCCGATGAACAGATTGTTGGAGATGTTGTCCAAATGGCCGCGATACTTGAGCCACGGCCCCGCCGCCGAGATGTGATCGGTGGTGCATTTGCCCTTGATTTTGATGAGTACCGTGAAATCCACATAGTCCTTGCCGTCCCACTTCTCAAAGGGGGCCAGGACCTGCAAGCGCTCGGACTTGGGATCGACGACCACCTTGACATCATCACCGCTGGCCGGTGGAGCCGTGTACGTGTCCTGTCCCGGATCGAAGCCCTTGGCCGGCAGCTCCTCGCCATGGGGTGCCTTCAGCTTGAACTTCTTGCCGTCCGTACCCTGCAGTTCGTCTTTGAGGGGATTGAAGTCGAGGCGTCCGCAAATGGACAGAGCCGTGACCATTTCGGGGCTGGTCACAAAGCAATGGGTGGCAGGATTTGCATCGTTGCGGCCCGTAAAGTTGCGATTGTACGACGTCATGATGGTGTTCTTCTCGCCCTTCTTCACGTCCTTGCGGTCCCACTGGCCGATGCACGGGCCACAGGCGTTGGCCAGCACAGTGCCGCCAAATTTTTCGAAAACCTCGAACATGCCATCCCGTTCGATGGTGGCGCGGATCTGCTCCGATCCTGGCGTCACATTAAAGGGTATATTCGATTTGAGGCCGTGACTGAGGGCATCCTTGGCGATGTTGGCACAGCGGCCCATGTCCTCGTACGAGGAATTGGTGCAGGAGCCGATTAGACCAACCTACAAAACTATCGCTATTAAATGTCACCTAAAAACATCGTCTGCCTACCTTTATATCCATGGGATATCCGTTCTTCTTGGAGTTCTCTCCCAATTTGCTGATGGGATGAGCCAGATCCGGGGTAAAGGGTCCATTCACCAGGGGCTCCAGAGTATCCAAATTGATTTCGATCAGCTGATCGTACTTGCAATCCTTGTCTGCCGTTAGGAGCTCCTTCTGGTACTTTTCCGCCAGCGCAGCCATCTCGCCCCTGCCGGTGGCACACAGATATTTGGCCATACGCTGATTGAACGGAAAGAGCGATGTGGTGGCCCCAATCTCCGCCCCCATGTTGCAAATGGTGGCCATTCCTGTGCACGAGATGGACTCCACGCCACTGCCGTGGTACTCGATGATGGCCCCAGTGCCCCCTTTGACGGTCAAGATTTCGGCCATCTTCAGGATGACATCCTTGGGCGATGTCCAGCCACTAATTTTGCCCGTGAGATTGCAGCCAATGACCTTGGGGCACTTGAGCTCCCACGGAATGTTGGCCATTACATCGACGGCATCGGCACCGCCCACGCCAATGCACAGGCCGCCCAGGCCCCCACCGTTGGGGGTATGCGAGTCGGTGCCGATCATCAGGAGCCCCGGGAAGGCATAGTTCTCCAGGATGATCTGATGGATGATGCCGCTGCCGGGCTTCCAGAAGCCCAGGCCATACTTGGCGCAGGCGCTGGCCAGAAAATCGTACACCTCCTTGTGCATGTCCTTGGCGCGGGCCAGATCCTCGATGCCGCAGACCTGGGCCTCGATCAAATGATCGCAGTGCACCGTCGACGGAACGGCCACCTTTTTGAGGCCCGACGAAATAAACTGCAGCAGGGCCATCTGTGCGGTGGCATCCTGCATGGCCACACGATCGGGACGCAGCCGCAGATACGACTCACCCCGCTTGATGTCCTGCGTTTCCGGCTCGTCCAAGTGCGAGTACAGCACCTTCTCGGAGAGGGTCAGCGGTCGCTTGAGACGCGACTTGATGCAGTTCAAGGCACCCGCCAGCTTCGCGTACGGCAAAAAGTCGTCCTTCTCGAACTTGGACATTGGCACCTTTTGCCAGACGGGATTTGGGCTCACATGGATACGCCGCGCCCACAGTAGGCGGCACAGCTGTGGTTTTTTCATAACTTTACACAATTTTATTCGGAAATTGTGTGAACTGTTTGTTGACCTGTATTGTTGTGCTGTTTGTGTGATTGGAGTAACTGAATGTTCAGGGAGTTTCAATCATTCGTGGAAAACAGCTGCTAAATCCTAGGTGTACTTTGTTTTTGGAAAGAAATGTGTAACTGTGTTGAATGTTTTTTTTTTGGGGAAGTAAAAGTGTTGTGGAAATGCAAACTAGATTTGAATATCAATGCAATTTTAATGGAACAAAAATTAGGAGTTCATTTTTGTGTTCTTTTTAGAGAAGTGCGAAATATAACGAATATATATTTAAAAAATATATATACACATATAAATAATAAATAAAAGTAAATTGTAAATTTAAATATTTAAAATATAAATAAATAAAATAAAAATAATAAAATAAGATATAAAGAATAAATATGGATCAGAAACCTCTTCCTTCATCCCCTACATTCAGTCATAACTTGTTTTATGTCTTGATCTTCATTGCATTCGCCCAATTACTTTCCATCCGCTGCTCTCTTTTATTATTTATTACAACAACCATAATTGGGAGCGGCTGGGTGTCCGTGCGCCTGAATTGTTGTGGTTTTCTGTATCCCGATGGACGCGAACGATCGTGTCTTCATTGCATTGAAAAGCAAACGCATTGCATACATACGTCATGCCATTCCTAATCTCTTTTGCTCTCAGCAACAACAATAAGCTTTACTGCGGCTTAGCTTTGACTCACGCTCTCAGCAACAACAACAGCAAGCTTTTCCCACGATGCCGAGATTGACGCCCGCTCTGCTCTCTCAGGCGCCTCTTGCAAAATTAAAATGCAAGCACAAAAACTCCATAGCGTATTTGGTGAGAGCGAGAGTAAAGTGCTCCGCTATTCCGCTATTTGTTGAGAGAGAGAGAACGAAATAGGACCAGAAAATAGAGCGCGTTGCGGGTGCGGACCACATTGAATAATTTCAACAAACAACCAAACGGGACTTTACTTTGCTGTGGAGTTTTTGTGCTTGTATTTTAATTTTATTTTTTTGTAAAGGCATACATTTTTAAGAATAACAGAACGGCATATTAATAACTTTTACTCAGAAATCTTTGAAAATAATTTATTTAATTTTTTTATTAGTAACTGAAGATATTTACGATTCTTTGAAAAACTTTTACTGGGTTATCCTGAGAGATCTGTCACAGCGAAAGTAAATTAAATTCGATTACAAACAATTTTGGTTAATAAATATTTACCTTTTCCCTGGTTTTCTCATAAAGTTGTGCATTATAAGAATTAATTTGTATTTTTTTTATAGAAATACGAAATATAAAGAATATATATTTGTGCCCTTCCTTTCTGGGAGGAAGCATAAAATCGAACAAATATTTTAGATTACATTTTCTGGAAGGTAAAATAAATTAAAACAATATTTTCCTTTTAATAAATCCGAAATAATTTTCGATATGGATATAATCATATAATAAAAACAAATATCAGAGACAGAAATATCCACCTATTTAATAACCATTTCTTCCCTTATTTTAATTGATTTTTAAGCCACAAATCGAGGCCATTATTTAGTAAAACTTAACCCTAAATAAATTCCAGGGAAAGTGTAAGGCAGACACCCAATAATTGTATTGAAATAAATTTAGTTGTAACACGTTCCAGTGCCATTACAACCTTAATCTAAGCCATTAATTGGAATAACCTCAGATCCTACTGCCATGAGTATTTGTTGCCACAAAGAGAGAGAGTGAGAGTGAGAGAGAGAGAGAGGGACAGAGACATGTCAACGGAATTGATGTTGCAACTGAATCGGAGGCCGAGACCGACCTGGTGGATCCATCGATGGGCACATAGGCCAACGGCCAACTGACGGACTAGCAGCAAACTGGGCAAGTGACAAACAGAAGGACAACGCGTCGTTCACTTTGTGTGTGTGGTGTGTGTGTGTGTGTGTGTGCACCAGTGCAGGGGCTACAAAAGTGTCAACTGCTGCAAGTGAAGCAGAGGCAAAGGACGTACCGTCTCTGCCCCTTCCCTCTGCATCCTGTGATTGTGTTTGCCAGCGCTGGCAGCGTGTCATAATGGACGACGATATACTGTGCTCAGTATACTGTGCTGAAGCTGAGGATGAGGTGCAAGTGCAGGACCTGTCTCCCCCCTCCCCCTGAACAATGGGACACGGACAATGGACAAACGGACATGGCACCAAACGGTAGTTGGCCGCCGCACACACCACATTCAATTGAAATCGACGTGCCTGTTTGCCACAATGCCATTGACGATGGCCACCCCCACCCCACATGGCTCCCTCCTCCCAACCAAAAGCTGCTGCCGATGGTCAATGGTTGATGGCCGTCTCTGTGCAGTAGAGGCCCAAAAATTGATTGGCAACTACTTGGGGCCCAGGACCGCACAAAACTTTTCCTACACTTGCCTTGCCGAGGAGTGTTCCAGTTCTAGTTGTCGAACGTTGATTATGATTCTGTATAATTGATGGATTTGTTGCTTGTTCTGCTCCGGGGGCTGTACTCGAGGGGAGGGGTGGAAAATGTCAAGGTTGTGCAAATTTCATCTCCAAAAACACACATTTAGTGCGCTGTCATTTGCCATCGGAATATTCGATTGGTCATCTTGTGTATCTCTCAAAGAGAGAGCTGAAAAAAAATGCAATTAGCTTAAATATATTTGCGTTTCACCCACGCCATGGCATGGCCCGGCCTTGAGCTCTAGTTTGGTATCGGATTCGCTTTTCGCTTAAATTATTGCTTTAGAGCAGCTCCTCAATAGAACTTTTCCCATAAATAATGGAGAACTTATTGCCAGCGCCAGCGGCACAGAAAATACGAATTACGTGTAGGAAAAAAAAGTGTAAGCATCCAAGCACCTGGCTATTACTTGCAGGACATAAGCGTCAGGGATTGCCGAACCTGATTGGAAAACACTATATAATCTATGAGGGGAAATCGAAATCGTTTGCCGTAAACTTGGCCAAAAGTCTTTTGGAAGTCGATTAAAATCAACACCAAAATTTACTTTAAAATAGGATTTATATATTTTTATTCCAATAGAATAGATAGAACCCAATATAAACTTCAATACAACTTTCAAACTCTTTCTAGATATTTTCTTGTTTTTTTTATTTATTTCCTAAAATTCTATTATACTGTATAATATTCGAATTATTAGTTTTAGGACATGTCTTGGGCATTAAGTGTATTTTTTACCCCCTAATATAGATACAGGACTATTTTTGGTCCCACAAATTACTAGAAATGTGAGAGGAACTACCATTATTAGGGGCAAAAAGACCGATTGGACTGTTTTTTTGAACAGAGTTTGGTATTAATCATGGCTTTTGATTATTTATTATTATTTTATTTATTTATTCCACTGGATTCTTTCAAAGTTTTCAACATTTTTGAGCCATTGATTGTTTTTCTGACTGAATAATACGATTTGAAACACGAATTTTGAGGTATTTCGCAATTGCCATTAACTTCAAATTAATTACATATATAATAATAAAATTAAATAAATAATTTATGGGATAATGCATGAAAATGTCTAACAATCCTTTGTGCCAAATCGATATGTTTTCCAACAAAATATATAGCCACTATATATTTATTTATTTTATATATATTTGTTTTTATTATTTATTTATTTTATATAGATATATTTATATATTAAATATTTTTATTATTTTTTTTTTATATATATGCATGTATTTATATATTTTTTATTATTTATTTATTGTAATACTTTTATATCATTAAATATTTTAAAATCTTAATCTAAATTTGTCTATTTTTGTATCTAATGAATTTATTGTATTGTATTATCTATGTATTTCCCTCCAATCGAAATATTTTCCCTAAAATATTTCCCTAAGGTATTTCCTAGATTTCGCACTAAATATGTCCCAATTTTTCGCCTGCTGCCTCCTTATGCGCCTCTTTAGTGACTTGTTGTCTGATTAAGCACTGGCGAATGCCCCGAAAATTGCTGTGAAAATTTATGCACTGCCCGCAGAGTGAGAGAGCGAGAGGGAGAGGGAGGGAGAGCAGTGTGGGGGGGCTATGGCCATATGTAGAAGAGCCATAGATAGGGGAGTGGGTAGCAGTAGAAAAAGGAGTAGGAGTAGGAATAAAGGAGTAAAAGAAGTACTAGAAATAGTAGGTGTGGCTGCCTGGTGCCACTGCCACTGCCACTGCCACTGCCGTTGCTGTGGTGTCGGTGGCGGCCAAAAAAGTTGCAACAAAACTGAAACTTTTTGGACTCTGGCAAAAATTTTTAATCCTCGTTCGCTCGCTTTCTTCTTCCTTCTCTGCCTTATCCTCCTCCTGCTCCTCCTGCTCCTCCTCCACCTTTTTTTATTATTCCCCAGCAGTTTTTTTGTGTGTGCGGAGAGTGGAAACAATACGTTCGTTGTTTTTGGTGTTCTGGGACGGCTCGTTGGCTCTCTGCCTCTCTCGGCCTCAGCACAGCTTGCGGTAAAACTTTTCAATAATATTCCCAAAAGTCCAGTCCAGGAGCAGGAGCAAAAGCATAGAGCCAGACGACGACGACGACGACGACGACGACGACGACGACTAAGAGGAAGGAGCAGGATACAGGAGACGACACCGAGTGGCAGTGTGGCGAACGGAAGTGCCGCCATAGTTTGGCATCTAACAAAAGTATAGCATAGTTTTTGGCGCACTGGCAGCAATATTGCAATAATACCCCAAACGACATCACATTTTGCAGAGAGCGTTCCTGGAAAGAATTTCTTTGGGAAACTCTTTAATTTTTTGGGTGGGGGGAAAAAGCACTAGTATATAAGATTTTAAAGAAGCCTGACAGGGCTATGTATTTTTTATTTTATTATTTATATATTCTTTTATTTTGTATTTATTAATTATATTTATATTTACATTATATTTTTTTTATTCTTTTTTAAAATTTATTTTAATTCAGATTTTAAGTAAGTATGAGAAGGATATGTATTTCTTATTGTATTATTTATTTATTCTTTTATTTTATATTTATTATATGAAAATTTACTTTATAA